AAAAGCACCATCAGGTCAACCTGAAGGCAGATCCTGGTGAAACTATTAGACTTCAGCAATAAAAAATAATTCTCAGAGTCTCCAGGCAAAAAGGTCACAAAATTTACAAAGGCAAGATTCACTGTGCACCGGACTTCTCAAAACAGTCACACGAAGTGGCGACAGACAGCGCACGGACCAAGAACTTCCCGCACAGCCAGAGGCTTCCTCCAGCCTCAGGCTCCAGGAACGCAGTTCTGACGAGCGCGGCCTCACAGAGAGCTGTGGCTCCAGCCACACGGGGACCAGACACCCGGCCAGCCGCGGCGGTGGACGCCGGATGTGACTGCAGGTGGGAGACTACGGGACAAGGGTGCAAGACTAGTATATGGATGTTCATCCTCGGACCTAAGTAGAAACCGTGTAACAAAAGGGCCAGGGCCCACCGGTGGCTCACCCCTGTCATCCCAGCACTTTGGGAGGCTGAGGCGGGTGGATCACGAGGTCAGGAGTTCAAGACCAGCCTGGCCAAGATGGTGAAACCCTGTCTTTACTGAAAATACAACAATTAGCCAGGCGTGGTGGCAGGCGCCTATAATCCCAGGTACTCGGGAGGCTGAGGCAGGAGAATGGCGTGAACCTGGGAGGTGGAGCTTGCAGTGAGCTGAGATCCGGCCACTGCACTCCAGCCTGGGCGACAGAGCGAGACTCCGTCAAAAAAAAAAAAAAAAAAAAGGAGGACAGGAGGACAGGAGGACAGGAGGAGGGGAAAAGGAAAAAAAAATAGGAAACCAACAATCTTATTGACTGTTGTGTGGGCAACATATGGGGGATTCAAGGTGTTTAGAAAAGGGTTAAGTACACAGATAACCACTAGACCAAAATGCAAACCTTCAATGTGCAGAGAAATTTAAAAAGTCAAAAGCAGGTGATGGCTCCAGGCTGTCCGTGGCTGAGCAGCCAGCACCTTCAGAGGAGACTGTGTGCGGCCAGAGCCTGGGGAAGTGGTGCTGCAGGGGCAAGGAGGGCAAGGAGGGCAAGGAGGGCATGGAAACCCGAAGTCCCGGCCTGGAGGGGCTGAGGGCAGAATCCGGGACAAGCAGTGCACCTGGGGGCAGCACTGGTCCCAGACAGAGAGACCAAAACGGGAGGGAATATTCACAAAGTAAACATCCAGCAGGAGCACCCGCAATCCAACAACGAGAAGACAACAGGCCGATGAGCCGGACACACCACAAAATAACACAGAAGCTGCCCGTCACCACGTGAGATGTCCTTCAACATCGTTAGCCATCTCGAAGTGCAGAATGAAAGCACAGGAGGAAACCACGAACTCCAACTAGAACAGGCAAAGTTAAAAAGTTGACAACACCAGCCGGGCGCAGTGGCTCATGCCTGTAATCCCAGCCCTTTGGGAGGCCGAGGCGGGTGGATCACCTGAGGTCAGGAGTTCGAGACCAGCCTGGCCAACATGGTGAAACCTGTCTCCACTAAAAATACAAAAAGTCAGGTGTGGTGGTGCGTGCCTGTAATCCCAGCTACTGGGGAGGCTGAGGCAGGAGAATCGCTTGAACCCGGGAGGCGGAGGTTGTGGTGAGCCAAGATTGCATCATTCCACTCCAGCCTGGGAGACAAGAGAGAAACTCCGTCTCAAAAAAAAAAAAAAAAAGTTGACAACACTAAGGTCTGGCGAGGGGCTGGTGAGGAGTTTGAGGGACGGGAAACTTCTCATGCAGACGGCGGGGACGGGGGCCCAACGGCGGCGCCCGGGGGACCTGTCTCACAAAACCGAACACGCGCCTGGCCTCGCTTGCATCCAACCCTAGGAACGTGCCCCACAGACAGGAAAACGTCTGAAGCGTGGCTGTTGTGCCGGGTGGTGGTTTGAGTCCTTCCTGTGGCAGTGATAAGCTTCCTTCAGGCCAGACCTGCCCTCAGAAACCTGTTTTCACTTTGTCTCGTTCTGTTAGAAATGGGGTTTCCTGGTGCTGCCCAGGTTGGTCTTGAACTCCTGGTCTCAACCGATCCTCCTGCCTTTGCCTCTTGTGCTCGTGGGACTACAGGCATCAGCCCCTATGTCCGGCTATAAACCTGTTTCGAACCAAGAAAACATCAGGTTTTTTCTTATTTAAGGGCCTATGATGGTCGCCCACAGACGACTCCCTACCAAAGGTGGGTGTCTTCAGGCGCTGCCACGCACACCTCCAGATCTCAGATTCACCTGCCCTCCCATCCTTCCTCTGTGAACGCAGAAGTGGATGCACTTTCCAGTCAGGAATCTCCCTGTCTCGCATGTTTCGGCTCCTGGCGACCGTTTCTGCAGCCCCCTTGGCCCTGGCTTGGCCTCCCAGTCTGGCTGCCTCAGGGTCCGCACCACCCACGTCCACCCGGTTGGTCCCCTGCTGTTCTGGCCGCCTGCCCTTCAGCTGCTCCACCCCGGGGCCCACAGAGAGGGAGCTGAGGATCAGCCCCACACCGAGCGTCTGGCTCAGGGCGCCCTGTGACTTCTGCTCTTCTCATTTCTCTGGAGAGGACTTGGCAGAAGCCAAGGAAACACTGTCCATCCCCGTCTCGGTGGCCGACACTGCTGTTGTCCCTGTCACCCGAGGCCTCCTCAGGCCCCAAAGCCCTCACTTGCTCCAGCCATGGCCCCATCACAGCTCTAATCCCTGAGCCCCAGGCCCTGGCCCCCAGCCCTGATCCCTGGTCCTGATCCCTGGTCCCCAGCCCTGATCCCTGGTCTCTGGTCCTGATCCCTGGTCTCTGGTCCTGATCCCTGGTCCCTCGTCCTGATCCCTGGTCCCCAGCCCTGATCCCTGGTCTCTGGTCCTGATCCCTGGTCCCCAGCCCTGCCTGATCCCTGGTCTCTGGTCCTGATCCCTGGTCCCTCGTCCTGATCCCTGGTCCCTGGTCCTGATCTCTCGCCCCTAGTCCTGACCCCTGGCCCTGATCCCTGGCCCCTGGCCCTGGTCCCTGGCCCCTGGCCCTGATCCCTGACCCTGGCCCTGGTCCTGATCCCTGGTCCCTGGCCCCTGGCTCTGATTGCTGATCCCTGGTCCCTGGCCCTGATTGGTCCCTGGCCCTGATCCCTGACCCCTGGCCCTGATCCCTGACCCCTGGCTCTGATCCCTGGTCCCCAGTCCTGATTGCTGATCCCTGGCTCTGATCCCTGGCCCCTGGCCCTGATCGCTGATCCCTGCCTGGCCCTGCTCTCTGGTCTCAGAACAAGGGAGGGATGGGCTTTTCCTTGAGGAGCTCCCCATCCAGGCTGCGGCCTCATGCACTTCTGAATCCTGAGGTTGCTCGGCCACGGTTTAAGGATGATAAGATCCTGAAATCAGGCTGGATGTGGTGGCTCCTGCCTGTGATCCCAGTGCTTTAGGAGGCTGAGGCGAGCGGATCACTTGAGGCCAGGAGTTTGAGACCAGCCTGGCCAACATGGTGAAACCCCGTCTCTACTAAAAATACAAAAATTAGCCGGGCGTGGTGGCGGGTGCCTGTAATCCCAGCCACTCGGGAGGCTGAGGCAGGAGAATCGCTTGAACCCAGGAGGCAGAGGCTGCAGGGAGCTAACACCACTACACTCCAGCCTGGGAGACAGAGAGAGACTCTGTCTCAAAAAAAAAAAAAAATCCTTAAATAAGTGTTTCCCCTGGAATATCTTCTGTTAACCATTTCCCACACGGCTTCCTGCCGGCCCCAGCGACGGCCGCGCTTCCTGGCCGCACCTGCTTGGAGCTACACCCACCGCCATTGGTGTCTCGGAGATTAACTATGGGGAGCTGCAGGCTGAGAGCCTGCCCCACCTGGGAAAACACGGCTCTGCCCCGTCTGCACCCCAGAGACCTGGACCATGAGGGACACCCAGGCCAGGGTCCAAGGTAGCGGGGCAGTGGGGACCCTGGTGTGGCCAGGCCCACGTGAGGCTCCATGTGGCCCCTGTGAGCTGCTGAGCGCCTGACCCTGTTGTCCCGATGAGGAAGCCGAGGCTCAGGGCAGGACAGACGAACCTGGTCCCTGTCACAAGAGTAGGAGGTGGAGGCTAAATCTTAGTCACTGGCCTGGGGTCTCTGGACCCCCCAGGAACCCTGTGCCAGGACCCTCCACTGGTCTCTGTGTCCAGTCTCCCTGCAACTAGAGACCAGCATGGGCAAATGTGGCCAGCTCTCTGCTGGTGACACCCCAGCCCTGGGCTCCTCAGTCCCCACAGGGAGGCAGAGGCTAGAGCCGGCCCGGTCTGGACATGGACGCTTTCAGGCGCACCCTGACAGGGAGGACGGGCAACACGGACGCCTGCAGGTGCACCCCCACGGGGAGGATGGGGACACAGACGCCTGCGGGTGCACCCTGGAGGGGAGGACGAGGACACAGACGCCTGCAGGCGCACCCCTGAGGGGAGGACGGGCAACATGGACGCCTGCAGGTGCACCCCGCACGGGGAGGATGGGGACACAGACGCCTGCGGGTGCACCTCGGAGAGGAGGACGGGGACATGGACGCCTGCAGGCGCACCCTGGAGGGGAGGACGAGGACACAGACGCCTGCAGGCGCACCCCTGAGGGGAGGACGGGGACACGGATGCTTGCAGGTGCACCCCGGAGGGGAGGACGGGGACACGGATGCCTGCAGGTGCACCCTGGTGAGGAGAATGGGCTCCTCTTCGTCCTCTATCGTCCCAGAGACAGCTCTGCAAACAGCTTCTGTGTCCTGTGCTTTCCCACACACAGCTTTTAAACCAGGATGGTCACCTGGAGCCGCTGTAGGTCAGGTGCAGATGCTCGGGGCATCCACAGCCTTCACGCAGAAACCCCCTGCTTTCAGCAAAACAACTGAGATGCTGGCGGGTGCCAGGAGGGGCACCAGGAGGGCCACCGGGAGGACCCTCGGGGCAGGGGTTTCCTGAATCTCCAGAGCCCCGGAGGCATGGCGGAGCGGAGGGTGGCCAGTGTGCGGAGCCCACACATAGAGGACAGGGACCCAAGCCCAGGGGAGGGACCCGATTCCCGCCTCTTGGCCCTTACCTGACCTCCCTCGTCAAAGGGGCCCACGTGGGAAAACCAAGCTCGCGAACAGAACCAGGTGGGCATGATCACCGTTGGACCATTTGCGGTGAAAACCTAGGAGCAATTAACGTTGACAGAGTTAGCAGAAAAGAACAGCTTGTCACAAACAACCTACAGTTTATTTCCACAAAGTGTCACGAGACAGTGACAGACGAATCCGTGTCCCTTCTCCATAGGGACAGGGGCTCAAGGGGCTTCATGACAGAGCTGACGTGTCTGGGCCCCACGGCTGAAAGATGAGAGGAGGAGGCAAGGGGAGACCAGCGGCCAAACCCAGTCCCACCTGCAGGCCTCACTCCCGAGCTCACTGGCTGTGCCTCACCAAAAGGACTCCTCTCTGCTTCTGATAGACGGAAAAGTTTTCTGTGAAAATCCAAAGTAAACATGCTCCTTTTAATCAGGAGAAAACCATGAAAGAGCATAAAAGGATACGGAGAATAATGAGATAACTTGGATGAAACACACGAGTCCTGGAAAGATGTAAACCATGAAAACTGACTCAAAAAGAAATAGAAAATATGAATCACTAATAAGTAAGCGGCAAGAGAAGACCCCACAAAGAAAAGCCCAGCGCCAGACGGCTTCCCTGAATTCTAGCAAATGTGCAAAGAATTAATACCAATCCTTCAAACTCTTCCAAAAGTAGAGGAGGAGGGAACGCTTCCCAGACGATTCTGAGGCCACCACTACCCTGACACTAAAGCCAGACAAAAATCCTACAAGAAAACAACAGGCCGACACCCCTTGTAAATACAGAGGCAAACGAAAAAACCCCAGCAAACGGACTCCATCCTAGAGAAAGGACCCACCACGGCTGAGTGGACTCACCTCATGACTGTAAACATGGGTCAACATACGAAAATCAGCGGAATCCACCAACCACATTAATGCAATGAAGGTCCAAACCCACATGAGCATCTCAACAAACTCAGAAAAACCACCATTCCTTGACAACACTATCCAACTCTGGGATAGAAGAGAGCTTCCTTCACCCGATGAAGGGCACTTACAAAATCCCCACAGCCAAGGTCACACTTCAGTGGTAAATACCGAAAGCTTCCCCTAAGGTCAGGGACAAGAACATCTCACCACTTCTACTCCACACCGTGCTGGGGGTTCTCGCCAGAGCGGCTTGGCAAGAAAGCAAAACAAACAATATCCAGCTTGGAAAGGAAGCAGTCAAACCGTGCCTGTGTGCAGACGGCATATGCTCCCGTGAGTGGGAAACCCGGGGTAATACAGACAATACACACACTCAGACACTTACACACACACACTCAGACACGCACACATGCACTCACATTCACACGCACACACAGACATGCACACATGCACTCACACAAGACACACACACATGCACACACAGACGCACACACATGCACTCACACACGCACATATGCACACAAGCATGCACACACAGGCACACAGACACACAATGCTTTTGCACACATGTACACACACATGCACTCACACACGTGCACACACGCACACATGCAGACGTATACACATGCACTCACACATACACCCGCACACATGCACTCACACATGCATACAGATATGCACAATGCACTCACATGCATACAGATATGCACAATGCACTCACACACTTGCCCACATGCACACATTCTCACACATGCACACACACAAACACATGCAGTCAGACACGCACACACATGCACTCACACACTTGCCCACACACATACATTCTCACACATGCACACACACACACGTGCAGTCAGATGCACACACACATGCACTCACAGACATTGCACACACATGTACTCATACACTTGCCCACACACATTCTCACACATGCGCACACACTACACAGATGCATGTACACACATGCACTCACACACATCTCACATGCATCTCACACATTCTCACACATGCACACACATGCAGTCACGAACGTACTTACATGCACTCATACACTTGTGGACACACTCTCACAGACACGCATACATACGCACTCAGACACACTCGCACACACTCACATGCACACACACTCAGACACACTCGCATACACACTCTCACATGCACAGGCTTTGTTTCATTTCAGATCATTTGTATTTCTATACCTTCAGGTTCACTACGTTTTTCTTCTGTAATGTCTAATTTACTGTTAATTCCATCCTGTGTATTTCTTATCACAGACATGGTAGATTTCATCTCTATTAGTTTCATCTGAGTCTTTTTCATATCTCCATTTATCTACATAAAATGTTCAATTTTTCCTCAATCTTTCTGAACATATAGAATACAGTAAGTGTTTTAATATACGTCTGCCACACACTTGTTAGGATTAACACAAATTTAAAATGTTTTTCATTATAGGTTGCATTTTCCATCTTCTTTGCGTGTCTGACTTACTCATTTTTATTGCAAGGCAGACATTGTGAGTTTTATCTTGTTGGTGCTGGGTATTTTTTGTGTCATATAAACATTCTTGAACTTTGTCCGGGGACACAGTCACTTGGAAACAGTCTGTTCCTTTTGGTTCTTCCTCCCCTCCCAGCATCGCCAGGTCAGGCTGCAGCATCATTTGGTCCAGGGCTGACTGCTCCCAGTCCCCTGCATTCACACCCAGTGCCTGCGGACTGTGAGGGTCCCAGTGCAGTGGAGCTCTGGGCGCTGTCCCTCTGATCTTTTCAGGTGCTTCTTTTCCTGGCCTCAGGAAGTTTCTTCACACACTGGTGAGTACTGGGTTTTAGGAGGTGGTGCCTCTCTTTTCCCCTCTGGGATCTTTCTGCCTCTGTCGGGGTGGGAGGCTGTCAGCTACATGGTCCTTCATTACCCTAACGTGACTTAGAGACGAGACACTGTGCAATGCCTTGGGCTTCTTTTTAATTACTTGAAAGGGGAAAAACATAGATTTGAAAAGTGACAAAAAGAGAACAGAGAAAAAAATTACGGAATAAAAGTTTAAAAACCTTCATAATGAAAGGAGAAACCACTAAGGCAGGAATACAAATTAAAATCAAGACTCCCTGTTCCTCTTGTTTCTATTTTTTAATTTTTGTGGGTACACGGTAGGTGTAATCGTTAAGAGTCACTGATTCTTAAACTCACTTTTCCTCGAAGAAAGGAAACATTCCGAAACATTTTTTGGAACTGTGCTGGAATCCTCTGTAAAGGGGCGAGAGTGAAGTTAAACTGTCATGAATTCTACAGGGAAAAAAAGGCCAGGAGTTTTCCATTTAATGTCACACATATCCGGTGACTTCCTGTCTGGACAGAGCTAGGAAGCAGAAGGCACCAAAACACGCCAGTGGCCACGACGGTCAGCTCACCCCACCCCGGTGAACCTCGGGCCCGACGTGGCCCCAGCCTGTGGAAAAGCCAAGCCCTGCACGCGTCGTACCGAGAGCTGCCTCGTCCCCGCCCGCGAGCCGCGGGCTCGTGCTCCTGCTGGCTTTCCACAGCCACACTCTGCTTACCGCGGGTCCTCACCCTCACTGTGCGTCTGATCCCTGGGAGGCCTGCGGCTCCATCGAGGTGCCTGACCCGCGCTCAGTGATGCTCTGGGCCGCTACCCAGGATCTGGTGAGATCCTTAGCAACCGTGTTAAGAGCTCTGGGGAGAAAGATCACCACAAAATGCAGAGTGCAGAACTAAACAGAAGAGCTAAAACTATAAAACTCTAGAAGAAAACATACGGGGAAAACGTCCTGACATTGGATTTGGCAATGATTTCTTAGATGTCACAAAAGTACAGGTAACAACAACAACAACAAAAACAACCGGATAAACAGGAGTATACCAACATTTAAAACTTCTGTGCATCAAAGGACACGTTAAAAAGACGGAAAAAGTAGTCCACAGAATGGAAGAAAATATTCGCAAACCATGTATCTGATAGAGGTTAATATCTAGAATATATAAAGAATTCCTATAGTTCAACAACAAAAAACAGCCCAATTATAAACATGGGCAAAAGACTTGAACAGACATTTCTCCAAATAAGATATACAAATAGGCAATAAGTACACATGAAGACACTGAACGTCACTAATGATTAGGGAACTGTAAATCGAAACCACAGTGAGATGCCACTTACATCCATTCAGAGGCTACTATCAAAAAAACAGAAAGCAACACCTGTGCGTGAGGACGTGGAGAAACGGGAACCCTCACGTGTTGCTGGTGGGAATGCAACACGGCATAGCCGCGATGGGAAAACAGTGTGGTGGCTCCTCAAACAATTGCACATAGAATTACCATAGGATCCGGCAATTCTGCTTCTGGGTGTGTGACCCCAAAAAGTGAAAGCAGGGTCTCCAAGAGCTCTTCATACACCCACATTGCCGGCAGCATCATTCACAGTAGCCAACGGGAGGAAGCAGCCCCAGCATCCGCTGACAAATGAATAAACAAAGTGTGGTCTCTTCAGTCTCCAAAGGGAAGGAAGATCTGACACTTGCTAGGACAGGGATGAACCCCACGGACACTTGCCGAGCGACATATGGACCCCGAGGATGCCGTGCTGACGTATGGACCCCGAGGACACCATGCGAGCGACATACAGACCCCGAGGACACCGTGCCAACATATGGACCCCAAGGACGCCGTGCTGAGCGACGTACGGACCCTGAGGACGCCGTGCTGACGTATGGACCCCGAGGACACCGTGCCAACATATGGACCCCAAGGACGCCGTGCCGAGCGACGTACGGACCCCGAGGACGCCATGCCGAGTGACGTACGGACCCCGAGGACGCCGTGCTGAGCGATGTATGAAGCCCGAGGATGCCGTGCCGAGTGACGTATGAAGCCTGAGGAGACTGTGCTGAGTGAAATTCGCCGTCACACAGATGCGAATACTGCATAATGCCACTTCTATGAGGTCCCTAGAGTCGTCACATTCACACAGAGTGGAGGCCTCCCGGGGCTGGAGGGAGGGAGACAGGGCTTCAAGGGGACAAAGTTTCAGCCTGGGACGATGAAAAAGTTCTGGACAGCAGCGGTGTGTACACAGTAATGTACATGTACTTAACGCCACTGAACTGTACGCTCAAAATGGTTAAGATGGTACATTTTATTCTATGTGTATT